TCTTCCCTCCAGCTTCAAAGAAGCAAAATGTTTTCCTTTCTTGAAAAAGAAAACTTTTCATTTAAAATGTAGCCTGTGTACTCTTCAATTCAAAATGACATACAGCAGTCCTCCATTATCTATGGGGAAAACATTCTAAGACCCCCAGTAGATGCCTAAAACTATGTTTTTTTTTCCTACATTTATCTTTTCACTTAAAGGAAGCATGTGATGGCCTCTCTTTGGCATATCCAAATTGCCAACATCACGACTCTTGCACTTTGAAGCCATTATTAAGTTACCTGAACACAAGCAGTGAAATACCTTGACAGTCGAAATGCTAACATAGAAGGATACTAAGTGACCAATGGGTGGGTAGCATATACAGCATGGATATGCCAGACAAAAGAATGATTCATGTCCTGGGCAATGCAGAGCAGGATAGCACAGATTTCATCATATTACTCAAAACTGGTGCCTGATTTAAAACTTGTAAACTTTTATTTCTGGAATTTTCCATTTAACATTTTCAGACTGCAGTTGACCATAGGTCACTGAAATTGCGAAAAGCGAAATCAAGGAAAGGGGGGGCTACTGTTCACACTGTATTTAATTAATATCTACCATGTACTCAACATTATGGAAGAAGTATCAGAAATAAAATAAGTTTTTGTGATAAGAACCCAAAGGATTAGAAAAGGAAAAGTGTCCTTAGGAAAATATAATTTTCCTTTATTTCTCTCTTATGACCTTGCCAAAATACAGTCTTTATTTCGGTGGGAAAAGTGCACAGAGACAGGGAATAGCTATAATTAAGTCTGAGGAGGCTAAAGAAACCTTGAGAATGAAAGGAGGATCCAGATAACTCAAAATTAAGTTAACTGGTAGAGAAAGGGAGTATATGTGATCAGTCTTGGCTATTTAACAAGGAAAGGGAGAACACAAAGCAAAAAGAGAAAAAAGAATCATAGCACTTGAAGGGACAATAAGGGATCTAAGGCAGGAGGGAATGAACTAAAATACTCCCAGCCTTTGAGAAATTTACAACCCTAATCTCTCCCTTGGGCTTAAATTTCACATATCTGTATATCTTAACATCAAGTAAGAAGCAACTAACTCTCCTCAACCTTCCCTTTCTTCACAGGTTCAACTTTTGAGTCACCATTGATTTTCTCCTCTTCATCTTTCAATTTAAGGTGCTTAAATCTCATCTTCCTTTTATAAACTACCAAGTCAGTCCTTTCTCAATGCTATTCCCAATTCTACCACTTTAGTCCATAACCATACCAACTTTCCTTTTAAGAGTCCAGAAAAAAAAAAGTCCAGAAAGATCAATGCAGCTTGTCCAAAATTGCAAAATTAGTTGAAAATCTAAGGCTGGTACCCATCCATGTCTTCTGACCAAGGTATTTCCCCATGTTTCTTCATACCTAGAATACCTGCAAAGCTTCTGAACTACTTCCCCTTTCACTAATTCGTCAGATATTTATTATGTTATCTAATATGTACAAAGGATTATGGGAGACAATGGTGTGAAGATGGAGTCCCTAATCTTACAATGTCTACATTATAAGGGAATAAAAGCAGAGATACAAGTAAACCTAATACAAGACATGAAGTTATAAGAATACAAAGTCCCAAAGGAATAGAGAATAAAGTTAATTTCCAACTGGGATGATTAGAAAGAAGGTGGGAATCTGAGGTAGACCTTGACAGATGATTAAGGTTTCAATAAGTAGAAATGAAAGAAATGGCATTACTCCAAACCAAGAACATGAGCAAATACCAAGAGGCAAGAAAGTACCATGAAAACAGCAGTTTATATAGAGGATAAATAACGAACGAAGTTGTAAAGTTAAGGAACAAGGCATGGCCACATTATGGAAGATGTGAATAACAGGCTATGAGAACCTAAACAAAAGCAAGGTCTGGGGCTGACTACCTGGGTACAAATCCTGGTTTCTTCACTTAATTGCTATGTGACTTTGGACAAATTACTTAACCTCTCTGCTGTACCTCAGTTTCCTTATCCATGAGATGTGATTAGTAATACCTATCTCATAGAATTGGTGAAAGAATTAAATAAATACATACAAAGCACTTAGCACAGGGTAAGTCCAATGTAAATTATTATGTAGTCAATAAGAAGTGAAATGATGCGTAAGCAGAGGAATAATATAATTAAAATGGCACCTAAGGGAAAGTTATCTCAGAGGAGGGAATGGGAGCATGCTACCTAGTTCCACACAAATATCCCAAGCATGAAGTACTTTGGGCCTGATGTAGGGTGACAGAAATGAAAAAAAGAAAATTCCTGGGTCAAAACTATTGGGGTAACCAGCCTCCAAGATAGCTCCCTATGATCCTCACCTCTTGGCATTCACACCTCTTATATGCCCTCATACTATACGGGGTTGATCTATGTGATAGATAGATTAGGACAGAAAAGATGTTGTCACTTCTGAGATTGTTATAAAAGACACCGGGGCCTCTTTCTTTGTTGAACGCTCTCTCCTGCTCTTAGGAAAGCCAGCTGGCCACGTTGTAAACTGCCCTATGAAAGTGGCAAGGAATTGACACCTGCCAAGCACATAGGTAAGCCTGGAAGTGAATCCTCCAGTCTCAGTAACCCTTAATTTGACTGAAATTCAGAGTTATGTGGGAGACACTGAATTAGAACTACCCAGCTGAGCCATTCCCGGATTCTTGACCCTTAGAAATTATGAGAAAATAACATTTGTTTTTAGCTGCTACAGTTTTGAGACAATCTGTTACAGTTTTGAGACAATCTGTTACACAATAGATAACTAATACAATTACTGTAAAGAAAAATTGATAAGGTCTGGAAAATTGATGGATAAAGAGGGCAGAAGTGAGGATCAAATCAAAAACACTAAGATTTCTAAGCCAGGATCTAGAGTAAGTACCTGGCATTAAGTTTCTGATTGCCAAAACATCCATTTCAGAAGACATCCATCTTGAATAAACATTTGGCCAGCTATATGACACAGCTATTAGCAAAACAAAGAGATAAGGAATTAGGCCCACGAAGGCCCCTCTTTCAGAAAGCCCTGGATAACTAACCATTTGAGTGACCCCAATTATCCCTTCTGGTGCTCTAATTCCCACTCTTAATGCTTCAAATTAGCCAATAAGAGAGAACCCAGGAAACCCTAGGCACCCCACCCTCTGACACTAATAAAGGCAGACCCCAGGTTTGACTGCCCTTCCCCACCACCTACCTACCTACTCCTCCCTCTTTTCTTCTTTCTCTCTTTCTCTCCCCGCACCCATTTCTCTCTCTCTCCCCGCACCCATTTCTCTCTCTCTCTCACTCTCACTTCACCTTGCTGTGTGGCCCTTGAGTATGCAATGTACCCTCCAGGACCAGTGAGTAATAAATCTTGTTCCTCAAAGTTCCCTGATGATTTTTGATAAAGTGCATCCTGCAATCATGAGAACCACAGGTCTGGCCCAGCCACATTGGTTCCGGTGGAAGGAAACGTCTGTAGGGGCTTGCTACAAGTAATATGGGCCTAGACAAGTGCCTTTGGCATTTCTAGCCAAGAGTATCACTATCAATAGGCTGAGACCAATAGGAGGAACTGTTAGGGCCTAGTGGACTAAAGGTGAGAGAATGATGACTTCATGATAAGCTGACTTTGAACGCATGGGAAAGGTCAAATACAGATCTGAAAGTCATCTATGTAGCAATGACAGCTAACATCAATGTATGAGATTGCCCAGAACAAACTTGTAAAATGAGAAAAAGCACAAGGTCAAAAATTAGAATATGGCAGGAAGGCAGTAAAGAAGTAAATGAGCAGTTGCAAGACAGGAAGAGAATCAGTATAGTAACATTCATGGATGCCCCCCAAACAAACGAACAAACAAACAAATAAATGCAGGTGGTAAATATGTCAAACGCTACAGTGAACAAGTAAAAAACATATTGGATTTAGCAATTTCATACATTTCCTTGGCCTTTTTCCACATTTTAATATTTCTGAAATCAGGGTGTGACTTACAATCAATAGGTATGTTCAACATAGGTTCCTTTGCTCTGTAAAATCAGATACGAAATTGACTGTGTGTCTGACAATCAATGGTAACCCAGAAGCAAGGAAACATGGTAGGATAAGGAAACTGAATCGGCATATGTGGAACATTTTTTCAGTTAGTTTTTTAGTAAAAAGAAGACACATCAAGAAAGTAGGCACCGTTTACTTTTGTTTTGTTATGCTGAGACGGGCATAATTGTAAACAAGAAATATAAATTGCTTTACAAAGGTCACATGCCAGGACAAAAATAAATTCAAGAACAAAAAAGCGCGCAAATACAATATTTTAAATAGCACTCATGCACTATTTCTTACACACACCCCGTGCCCACTGTGGCAGACGCTGGTATCACAGACTGGCAGCATTTAGCTTCAGACTTCTCGTCCAATGAAACAGGAAGAGTGAGTCAGAAGTTTAAGGTAGAAAGGAAAAGTGTGGTGACATATCTGGGAGGGGAAACGGCAACAACAGAGCCATTCCAATATCTACTGCCGTGTTATAACACTTGGTGTGTCTCAGAGAGACAAAAAAAAAAACTGCCCAACATCAGCGAGAGCAAATATATCTCACACGCTTGTTCCAGATGTATCTCCAGTCGCTCACTCCCGTCACCCCTAAGGCTGCGAACCCGAGCCTTTCCCAAGGAGGTAGCTCTTCCCTCCACACCTCGAGAGAGCCCCTCTCCCTGACCCCCACGTCCGACCCGGTAGGCGCGACTCCAGACGGCCAGTGGAGGGCTCAAACCGCACACTTAGGCAGGAGACCGACCTCCGAGCAGCACTCCGCGACGCCAGCTCGGTCCACATTCACCAACAAAACCCGCCGCGGCCTCGCCAGTGATCCCGCTAGCATAGCGCCCACCGCTTGACCGTGCCAGCCCAGGGCCAGGCGGATGAGGTGTAAAACCGAGCCAGACCCGCGGCCCCGCGGAGCCCTCGGGCTTCCAGACCATAGCGTACCTTCCGGCCGCGAGTGTTACCGCCACGGGGCATTTCCAAAAACACCACTCGCAGGCGCGTGGCCTGCCCAGGCATGCACCGCCTCCTCAAGGTACCAGAATTCTGCGCGCAGCCAACCGCCTCAGCACGGCAGTGCGCGCTGCAATTGGCGGGCGCTCGGGCGTGGCTTCTTTTGACGCACCGCCCTCTCAGCGCTGCGCGTCCCAGCGCGTGCTGCGATTGGAGGGTGTTCGGACGTGGGGCGGGGCTTCTCTTCCACAATTCACTTTTCTGGGCACAAAGGAATGACTGCGTGTGGTGTAACCTTGTGCAGTAAGTTGTTCACCAGTTTTGAGTCAGAAAGGGTCTTCTGGTGCTCATCCAACTTTCTTGCTGGGGCTCAAGATCCTGTAGAGCGTTCTCAGCAGCACACACTGTTGGAACTTGCTCCTGGTGGGAGAATTGGTGGTCTGGTGTCTCATAGGGAGGTCGGGGTGTGTAAGCTTCCAAGTGTTGTTTTTCAAATAAAGCTCATATGTGGTCTGTTTTGTCAGTCATTGGTTGACATTAAATAAAAATAAAATGAAAACCTGAAGTGGGTTATGAATTCAGTAATCAGTATTTAAGGAATATGTTAAAAATGTTAACATCCACTGCTGAAAGTCTTTAAGAAAGGTTTATTGAGACAAAATTGCTAGCCAAAAAGAAAACCAGTCTTGGAGCATGTATCTAGTGTTGAGGTAAGAAATGTCCAGACGTGTAGAGAAGTTTTGTGAATTTGAGCCAAACTGAAGACAATTGCCAAAAGCCCAATGGATTGAGAAAATGTTCCAGAGAATAGCAGTTTGAAGCTTATTTTATACATTTATTTTTTTAATTTTTAATTAAGTTTATTGGGAGTAACATTGGTTAATACGATTATATAATTTTCAGGTGTACATTATCATTTGACATCTGTATATTCTATTGTGTATTTACCACCCAAAGTCCAGTTTCCTTCAGCTACCATATATTTCATCCCCTTTACCCACTTCACCATCCCCCTAAACCCTATATTTGACGCCCTTTACCCCGTCTATATCCCCCGTCCTCCCCTACCCCACTAGTAACCACTAGTCTATAGTCCTCTGGTAACCGCTAGCCTATAGTCCATGTCCATGAATCTCTGTTTGTCCTGCTCATGTGTTGCTTTTAGGTTTATATCCCACATATAAGTGATATCATATGATTTTCAACTTTACAAAGAACTCATACAACTCAATAACAACAAAAAAACAAATGATTCAGTCAAAAAAATGGACAGAGGACCTGTACAGACACTTCTCCCTAGAGGACATACAAATGGCCAACAAATAGATGAAAAGATGCTCAACGTCGCTAGCTGTTAGGGAAATGCAAATCAAAACCACAATGAATTACCATCTCTCACCTGTTAGAATAGCTATAATCAACAGGGCAAGTAATAACATATGTTGGAGAGAATGTAGAGAAAAAGGAAACCTCATACATGGGTGGGACTGCAAATTGGTACAGCCACTTTGGAAAACAGTATGGACATTCCTCAAAAATCTAAGAATTAATCTACTATATGATCCAGCAATCCCTCTACTGGGTATTTACCCCAAAGACTTGAAAACCCATACCTGAAAAGGTATTTGCACAGCGACGTTCATAGCACCATTATTCACAGTGGCCAGGACATGGAAGCAACTGAAGTGTCCTACGATAGATGACTGGCTAAAGAAGCTGTGGTACATATATACAATGGAATATTACTCAACCATAAGAAGAAATGAAATACTGCCATATGTGACAACATGGACGGACCTGGAGATAATCATGCTAAGCGAAATATTTTATATATTTAGAATCAAAGGAAGAGAGTAAAGAGGGTTACATGAAATTCATTGGTTGTAGATTATGGGGGAAGGGGAAAATCTCAGATTGAGTAAAAAGTAAAATGGAAAAAAAAGTAAAATTGAGAGAGACATGTACTTCTTTTACATTGGTATGTACAGGATAGTTAATAATTAACATTTACAGCACAAAGATGGTATTTGAGGAAAAAGATAATATTGAGAGGTTCTGTGATCTAGTGCTCTGGTGTAGTGGGTGTGCCCTGAGGGGGTCTGGAAAATGAGATATCTCTGACATTTCAAAGATATATTATCTTAAATGCGAAACAGTAGACAGGCTCACTTAAGGTAAAGATTCCTTTGTCAAGGAAGCTACAGATCTAGCTGGGATATGACTATCCATCATGACCTGCTTTTAATTAGGTTTTTCTGTTTTTGTTAGAACCATCCTATGGGGTTACTTTCAGTCTCTGAGATCTCCCCTGACCCAAGATTGTCAAGTTTAGTATGTGACCCTTTTTCGTCCACACTTGGTAGTAAAGACATGTCCATTGTCTAGGAGTTTACAAGCATTTTTTAAAAACATTCAAAGGAAGTTGGGGAAGAAAGATGCAGTCTGTCCGAAATTTACACAAGCTATAGGCAAAAGGGTTGGAGAAAGTGAAGTTGGCCAGCTTTGATAGACATAGAGTCCACAAAAATGTCTGCTCCTGTGGATTGGCTGTAAATACAGTCAGGAAATCCCACATGTAAACAAGAAGTAGAGGTTCCTGGAGTTTGATGGTGCCTGGATAAAATAATCTACAGGACTAGCCACCAGGAAATGAATCTGAAGTTCCAACGGACATAAAATATGAGCAGCCTTCCATTAGTTGGCCCCAAACCATTAGCAGATTAACAATTCTGTCTCTTTCTTTCACTATCCTGGCCACTGCAGTTTAATTTAGAACATCTCAGGATTTTCTCCTAGTCAAATGGTTGTAGTTGTTAATAACCAGAAAAAGGAGCATTATTTCCCCTTCTATTGTTTTTCAGGGTGGTAGGTATCCAAGCAGAAATTCTCAAATTTTGGAGACATCAAAATTAACAAGAGGATTTGTTATATTGATGCAGGACAAGGCAAATTTCCCCTACTTGGTAGAGGAAGACCAAGCCCTGCACCAAGAGAAGAGAGTCCTTTGGCAGAGAGTGAAGAAAGAATTCAACACACATGCCAAAGTTAGAGTCAAAAGGAAAGTTTATTAGAAAAGGGGTAACACTCCACAGAATGTGATCTCCTCTCAGAGGCAGAGAGTGAGAGGAACCAAAAGAGACTTGGAAAGATAGTGAATGGTGGTGGAGGGCGGTGTTCAGGGATTTCAGTTTATATATCATTCTTTAGTTCCTGTGAGTTATTGTTTAAAAGACTTTGTTAACCCATTTTCTTTGATATGGACTTACAGTGAGGAAGGGGAAGGCTATATAGCATGAAAAGGTAAGAAAGGCCTGATGGCAGTTCCTAGCCTTTAATCCATAGGTTCCTCATGGTTTTAGCCATAGGGAATGATTCTTGGCTCCTGTTTCTTGGGTGTGGGGAATAGGTTCTTAGCAATCCCAGTAGAAATCTTCCTTTGTTCTGAAGGTGTCCTCCTGGCCTGGCTGCAAGGCTGATCAGCACATTGCAATAGATGATGTTATTGCAGCTGTTCCGGTAACTCACTTTGAGAACCAGGGCTAGCCACCATTCATTCCTTAGATCACACAAGTGAGTATACTTAAATGTTTCAGTATTTTGAGTAGATTTAAAACAAAATACCGCTGTGAGCCCAGGAGAGGGAATACTGGGCCTGCCTGGCAGCCTAATGGCCTCACCATGGGAACAGAAGGGTAGAGGCCACAGGAGAGCCCCACCTAGGAAAGTGGGAGAGGCTCCCTGCACCTCCTGCTCGCCCTCCAGCCCCTGTCTCTGTTTTAGCCCTGCAGCCACTGCCCGGGGCTACCCGCCCAATCCCCACCCCTCACCTCGCTCCCTCCCACTCCCACTGCCACTCCTACACTTTACCCCCTCACCTCCCCCTCAGCAGCCTGGATGGGCAGGGGAGGCAGGGAGGACTATGTGCAGGGCCTGAGCCATAGGAGGTGGTGGGAGGGCCCTGCAGCAGCTTCAGGGCTGGGGCAGCGAGATCTTGCAGCTGAACGTGGCAAGGACCAGATTCAGTATCTCAAGGCAGACTCAGGTAGATCAAGATACTTTGGTTTCCAGTTTTGCTGAGATGGAGGAATTTCAGTCCTTCCAAATGTAACTGACGCATTATTTATTGATAGACATCCAGCAGGATTTGCACCCATTTTAAATTTTCTTCAGACAAAAGAACTAGACTTAAGGGGAGTGAGTATTAATGTTCTCAAGCAAGAAGCAGAATTTTATAGAATCACTCCTTTAGTAAGAAAACTTCTCTTGCATGAAGAATTGGAGCGCTCATCGTGTGGCAGTGTCCTTTTTCATGGTTACTTGCCTCCACCAGATATTTCTACCTGTAAAATAAACAATACGACTAGAATCTGCTGCTGATTCTAGGAATGGACTAAATTCTAGTCCAGAAGGAGAAGCTCAGGGAAATGATACCCAGCCTATTCTCTCTGGAAATGGAGAAGAGACTAATAGGCTAGGATTCCTTGTGGATCCACTAAAGGTGTTATAGTAGCTGGCCAGCTGACCATCACAACTGGATTGTAGCCATGTGTTATAGAATCAAAGAATCTTCAGGATGACAACAAGTGTTTACAAGCCCATATTTGCACTGGACTATTGAACAAGTAGCCTTAAATGGAAAAGTAGTTTGAGGTCCACATGGAAACAAAGACAAAATGGTTTATGTTGCCTTAGTAGTACTTTTATGGAGTGTTCAAGATGGAAGTGAAAGTGAAATTGAAGTTTTCAGCCTTGGTGTTCCTGTAGATGCTCTCTTTGCTGATAACCAGTTTGTGGCCACAAGTCATACAGGGAAAGTGGGGGTGTGGAATGCTGTCACTCAGCATTGACAGGTTCAAGATGTTCCTACAACTAGTTATGACACTAGTGGGTCATTTCTTCTACTCAGATATAACAACAGATCGATATATTACATAGCAATACAGACGTTCCCTTTAGGAATGAAGGATAATGAACTTCTTATAACTGAACTTTATCATGATCCTTTAAATGATGCTATTATTGCTCTGAGTGTTTATCTCACACCAAAACAAATGTCAATAGTCACTGGATTGAGATTGCCCATGGTATAAGCTCTGGAGCAGTACAAGTTTGTATAGCACCAAAAGATGGTTG